TCTCCTTTCTGTTGAAGTCTACAGAAGCTAAATTGCCCAGGTCGAACATGGCTATTATCACACTTCGTTATCAAAATTCTTGCCTTTATGTGTAGTCCTTTTGTTTGCACTCTCATTCTGTGGATCGCCGAAGTGGCTGCTACATGATTTTTTTGCATGATCGGGAATCTTTGTCTGCAGGGTTACAAGCGTTCCCAAGTGCAAAAATCTCAAATATCACTAACAATCTTTGAAGCAGTTTATTGATAATTTTATAGAAAATTAACAACAATTTATTGATAGTTCTGTGGTAGTAAGGCGTTATAAATTTACTGATAATTTTACAGCTTGGAAGCGAGGCGTCGTTCCGGTTTTCGGCGTTTTTTTCCAACCGATAAATCGCTGAAAGGAATAATCGGTGGCGGGATTACGGGTGGTATCGAAGTTTGTATTACATTCCCAACAGAATATGTCAAAACACAGTTGCAGTTGGACGAAAGGTCTGCACATCCGATCTATAAGGTTCGATTTGCTTTTAATCATTTTAGGTTGAGATCTGACAAGCGAGCACCAGCTAATGTTTCCCCTATTTATGTTGTCTTCTCAACCTGCTTAAGGCAGTGGTTGTCGGGTTCATTCCACGATAGCAACCTGCAGTTGTTGAGTGCATATCGAGAGGTCGAAATAGTTCGGTGGTGGATCGCCGTATTATTCAAATTTGGCTCTCATTACAAATATTTCCGTGCTCGATTGTTGATGCACATATAGGGGCACTAATCCTGTTGGGTTTATGCGATGTCTGATAAGGCCTAATATATTTGTTAAGCCTTTGAGGGTAATCAGCGGTTTTCTTTTTATGCGTTTTTTGCAGCAATGCAATGCGAAAAACGCATATTGACGAAAGGTTGTCTGTGTGTCCGTGTGTCTGTGTGTCTATGTGTGCGTCTGTCATGCACTTTCATCTCAGGACTTATAAAAGCTGCGGGGCTAAAATTTCGGGAACTTAATCAACATGCACGTGCCGGCCCCAATCCCCAAAATTGGCGCCAGAACCCGCGTGATGCCCGCGTGCGAGCCCGCCAAAATTTTTTTGGAGTCACTCCATAACTCGAACCCCAATCCCTAAAATGGGCGCCAAAACCCGCGTAGTACCCGCGTACGGACCCCCCAAAGTTTTTTCGGGGTCAGCTCATAACTCGAGGATCTACATCCCCAAAATTGGCGCCAAAACCCGTGTGGTACCCGCGTACGGACCCCCCAAAGTTTTTTTGGGATCAGTTCATAACTCGAGGATCTAAGAAGCTAGAAGGCTGAAATCTTGGAGTAATGTTCCCCGCCCAAGCGGCTATTAGTGGGCTCAAACCCGGCCTGCTCGTACCCGCGTACGGGCCCCCCAAAATTTTTCCCGCGTAAATTCATAACTCGGGGATCTGAGAAGCTAAGAAGCTTGAAATCTTGGGGTAACGTTCCCCGCCCAAGCGGCTATTAGTGGGCTCAAACCCAGCCCCCGGGTAAGCGAATCTTGGGGTAATGTTCCCCGCCCAAGTGGGTATTAGTGGGCTCAAACCCAGCCCCCGGGTAAGCGCGGCACCCACATACGGGCCCGCCAAAATTCTTTTCATGTAAATTGATAACTCAAGTACTTGAGAAGCTAAAGGAATGTAATTTTAAGC